AAGTCTATAAAAACCTTGCTATGATTGACAGATGATGCATTTCAGTACATTTTATATCTTTCTTGTAAATAAACAGTCAAACTCATTTTCCATGCAGTGGGAAACTACAAACCCTATGCTTGTGTTGATGGTGATTCCCTTTGCTCCAGGCTGGCAGTAGTGAGTTTCGATGACATGATCATTCTCTATTTTTAGCCACTGACCTCCAACCATCAGCTGCCACAAATAATTGTTTCCACTCACTGAGAAACAGGGATTTTGACATTTAAATGCATGTATCAATAGAAAAAGAGGTGAAACCATTTAGCTGAACATAACTTCTTAAGGATTTCTTTCTATATCATTAAACTTTTGGAGCTGTTCCTTTTGAACCTAACAGCCAAATTCTAACCTCTAACAACTCAGACACTCAACATGATCTGCGATGAATAAGCTACAATAATTAAGCAGGAGGAAAGTTTAAGGACAAAAATGATTTCACGTCATTTTTGAATAATGATAAAAGAAGAAAAGGCTCACTTACTCATGCTACTCTTTAGCCATGTGATCACATCAGTGAACAAATGGTTTCACTTTTTATCTTTCACCTCAAGACATAAAGCAATAAAAGTTTGGTGGGAGGGGCAATAAGGCCCTTTATTATTTCTGCTGTACTGTTTGCACATATAACATTCTATTAAGAGTGGCTATCTTTTCAAAATGTAAAGTAATTTGTGGAAATAAATGTTTTGGAGGAACTAAAAATATATTTAAGATTGGGCTCATAATTTTGAATCAAAATGTATATTTTTAAATGTGTGTTTTCTTGGCCCATTGGACAATAAAAAGCTTCAACGTAAAGCTTTTATTACCTATGAGCGGGAAATCATCACAATAAACAAGAAAAAAAAGGCTGTAAATCATAAGTCCTTATGGTCTAACTAACTTTTGCATCTTTTTCTCTTACACCAGCTACCTTTGTTTCCTCTTGCATCACAGTTCCAGGCACATAATAAAGACGAGTTTTATTATTTTACATGGAGCTACACATAGACAAACATATAACTGACATTTAATATTGCAAATATATAATGTGTAATAATAGTATAAGGATACGTTTTTTTTTTGCAGAGGAACAGAACCCTAACAAATGTAAAGTGACAACAGTTTAAATTTATAGTTAAATAGTATTTGCATGTGTGGACATGTGTATTTTTTGCAATGCAAATTGTCAGTGAGGAGTTGTAGGTAAGAACAGGAGCAAGGTGTTTTTATTCTAGAGCTGCTCAACAAGTGGTTAATCACCCACCTTTAGACAGATTCATCACCCTCAGAGGAAAGCCCAGTGAGGTTGGTGACATCCAGAAGCTGCTGGAGCTTGGTGGAGGGGTAACTGTCAAACTCAAATATAACTAACACAAAAATACATAAAACGTGCAAACCCCCCCATCCCAAAAAAAAAGTAAAAATACAAAGCAACTCAAATTGGAGGAATGCTGTAAGTAAATCAAAGAAAATAGAGAATATATGCTCCAAACACAAAACTTAAAACACAGAAATAATGCTAACAGACGAAGATGCAAAACAAAATAAAGGAAAAACACCGCATGTTGCAAAAACAACTGCAAGCTAAGAATAGCTGCTAACCAGCTCTGCATAATTGATGTGATTTAGAAAACGAGAGGGGGACAATCATCAAGTCAGAGACCAAATCCTTAGTAAAGCCATAAACAGAATGCAAAGAAAGATTAAATGGTTTAAAAATAATTAAAAGAAAAATACATTTTCTTTATCCTCTCCAATAATCCTCTAGACAACATCCTGTCTATGGCTTTGCAAAGGATATAAGCAGACATCAAACACACACCCCTCCCAATAGTCTTGATCACCTTCATTATAAAGATGGAAATTGCAGCTTCTCTGGTTGTGTTTTCTTCTAGCATTTTTCCTTCGCTTGTTTTTTTTATTGGTATCATTTATGTGTTTGCATTTTGACTTTGCTGCTCATTATTTATGTAATTGCATAATTTTTTTCGTTTGCATGTGAGTAATAGGTTTTTTTGTTGGTCAAATTTATGAGTTTTCTAGTTTATTTTATGTGTTTGCAGGACTTATGGGACTTATTGAAGGAAATCAGGAATACTGGGAAAAGTCATCCAATCTTTAAGCAGGCGGAAACATTTAAAATCTCCGTTGAGATGATAAAGATGTCTGTGAATAAAGGCGGTAGCTGGTTAGCCCATTGCCTCAGGGTGAATGCAATGTGTTGATTGATGGAGTATCTGTACAAACCATCTCAGTCTGGCTTTATCTTAAAAAAACATCTAACATAAAGCATCCCTATGATTTATTCAATCCTGCTCCAAACCCACCAGTTCACTCCTCAATGTCTTTATTTCTGATACATCCACCTGCTTCATATCTCCTCCTTCCTTGATTGTACCTACCTCCTCCTGCCACTGTCTCTAAACCATATGTATGCTAATATCACAGTTCATGGAGATTGTTTTGCTGTCAATCCAACATTCAACCTACTCCCACCTTGAACTCTTTTCCCACTCCTACAGTACACGTGTCATGCATCTCTCATGCATGTTTTGCTCTACTCTAACATGCTTCCTGCTACTCCAGACTTGCTCATATAGTGACTCAGCTCCTTCAAAACCATTCTTTCATATGCTTTCTCTAGATCTGCAAAAACGCAGCCCCTGCTGACACCCTCTATAGTTCTGAATCAACAGCCTCAAAGCAAACAATGCATCTGCAGTAACTTCATTTTATGGATCATCAACTTTATTCCTTTCTAGTTGCCATAGTTCTACACACCTCCCTTGCTTTGGGAAAGTGGTATCAGCTCATATCTCCTCCATTTCTTAGCTATCTATTTGTTCTCTCAGATCTCATGTCCAAAACGCTTCTGCTGTCTCTCCTGGACATTTCCAAACCTTCGGTTATATTACCATGGTCAATAACCTTTTAACTCTATCTCTTTCAATGCCCTCCTAACTTCACTATTTTTGCCACATTCTGACTTCTTTTGCTCCTGTTTCTATTGTGTTTTTCCCACTTATAACTCTTCCTATTACTCCTTTCATCCTTAATCCTCCTAACCTGCTGAACCTTCTCCTTCTCCTTGTTTAACCCCTAGAACCCTACGGACCCACCGGTGGGTCCAGCTGCTACGTGACCTCGTAATTTTAACAAACCCCCAGTATTGATGTAAAAAACACATTTGGCACAGTTTGGTGACATTTTTGGATAAATGTGCCAAAATGGCCCCTCCGCCTAAGAAATTTCTCACTAATACCATTCTAAAATAAATATGATTCATCTGATTGAGTCCAAATTTGGTATATTTTTACACAACATTTAGATTTAAAAGTCTGTACTACTTTTTTGTGCTATAAATAATATTTTGGTAGTGTTTTGCAATGTTTATTTCAGAGAAAATTTTGGCGAGGTTCAAAAAATGCAAAATATTTTGTCCCTAATATTTCAGGCAGGGTCAAAGCTACAATGGTGCTGACACCAGAAAACCATTCTATGACATCTTACCTTTACAGAGGTACCAAAAGTTTCTTCTTAAATCTAATAGCTGTGAGGCTATAAGTGATTTACTTTTGTGTGTTTTTGTCAGGCAGAAATTTATTTATACCCCCTGAGGGTCATCCAACCTATGAAATTCATTGTATGCTCTCCGTTTGCCTACTTTACTCTTGGTCGTTCTATTCAGTCCTTTGTCTTCCACCCCTGCTTTGCTAATCTCTTTAACATAACAAAAATAATTTCTAGCTTCCTTAGAAACTCCTTCTTCAAGATAACTCTTCTCATCTATATAACGGCAGAACAGCTTGAAGCTTCTGGTCTTGCTGCCTTTTTACTTGGTCTCCTGACCACAGTATGCTCATCTTCTTCTCTGGATCATGTTTGTAATTATTTAACTGTCCTTGTTCAAGTTCCAGCTTTCAAAGACATTACTGTAAGACCTAGACTCTCCTGGTATCCTTCCATTTTTCTTTGCTCACCAACAGTAGCTCATTTTCCACCACTGATCCTATGGTGGTCGTCATAATCAGCTAAAAGTCCCAACTGATAAGTGATCAAATGCAGCTTCTAATTATCAGGAAACAAAACCAAGAAAAACTCATTTAGCCATTTAATTCACTCTGAAATGTCATATTATACGAACTACAGCACTATTGCTAAATCTTTGGGTGCATTTTCTAACATGGCTTAAACTCAGGCTCTCTTAGACAGTGGGCTACATCTGGTGTTTTTTTTTTTTTTTTTTTTTTTAGATTAATAAAAGTATGTTAGAATTTCTTCAAAAAATGATTTCTAAACAAGAGCTCCAAAATGTGAACAATTTAAATATGTCAGTATAAAAAGTCTGTCAAAGGAAGTTTTTTTGCATTTACAAAAAATCAAGGACTTCATATTCATAAGAGAGACTCACATAAGTTTGTCATTTTTTGTAGTTCTTATTCAGTTCATGGTCCAGTTGTGCTAAATATTGATCAGCACCAAGTTGAAAATACGAAAAACTGAGACATGAAAAAATATAGGTACAATGCAAGCAGTGGTGGAAGATGTACTCAAGAGTAGTACTTGAGTAAAGGTATTGATTCCCATGGTCAAATCTTACTTAACTACAAGTAAAGGTTACTCAGTCAAACATCTACTCAAGTTAAATTATTGAATACTCACTTTTAAAAACACTAAAGTATTCAAAATTACATTTATTTAAAAGTAGGACTTAAGTATTCAAAACACAAATTCAATTTTCCAATATAAGTGCCTCTCCGTATAATTTTTAGAGTAATTTTAAGGATTCTTGTAACATTTGGAAACCGCCTGATGTATTGACGCTTAGACACCTGGTACAATTTCTAAACCACCTGTAAAGAACTTCTACGTATAAAATTCCCACAAAAAGTACAACTATTTGGATTATTAGTTATTATTTAAAAACAACCCAAAAAGAAAACAGGAGAGTCTTGATTCTTCCCACACTTTCATTTTGGAATAGAGGTTTAAGGTTTAATCTATTATCACAAAGAAACTGCAGCTCTGATTTGAGAACTCATCCTACTGAACAACTTGGCCACATGGCAACAACTAATGCCTTCATAAAATGTATGAACAACAGATAATATCTGCCCTAAATATCTAAAACAGTGGTGTCCAAATTTAGTCAGAAAGGCTGCTATCTTCCATTTTGACATTTCATTTCAAAAAGGAAAAAAAGAAAATTTTGATTTGGATTACACAGCTAAGCTAAGCCAAAAGTAACAAGTAACTTGCAGATCAAAAATGACTGAAATAAAGTAAAGATACTCAAAAAAGTACTGAAGTACAGCAATCAAGTAAATGTACTTTGTTACTTTCCACAACTGAATGCAAGGCATGTGGCAAAATCCAGCAACTCGTGCATTTTAACCTTAAATCATCACTTATTAACTGTAATATTCATATTTTCATTGCAGATAATCTCTGTGTACATATTTCTTTTTGCATTCAATGTCCCATTATTGCACCAATATATTTCTTCTTTGGCCCTTCCAACATAAAGTCTATTTGTGAAGCAAAGATCAGTAATTGAAACACCTGTTCTGTAAATATAAAGGTTACTTTAATGCATTATTCTCAGGTAACAATCATGTTTTCACATAAACCTCGCTGATATTTCATTGTATCATTCCATAACTTATGTAAACACATAATCTAATTTCCTATTATGAGCAGTAGAGTCACCGCTGACATGATATGGCAGTAAAAAAACCCATGCAGACCCAAATTGCATTTTATGGCTTCTTAAATGAGGGTCCATCTTTAGTCCTCACACCAGCACTCGTCTGATCTTGCGAGTGTGCTTGGTTTTTTGGTTTATTTGAGTCATCGCTGGAAAGAAACAAACATTCATATTAAAAAAAGATGTTTAAAAATATTTCCCCCATTAAAAGAAATTACTCATCAAAAAAGAAATAACTAACCTGATAAGTCCAGCTTGTAGTGGTGTCTCTTTACTGTGAAGGGGATGCAGTCTGTAGGGTTCTGCTGGTACTTCCTCTCAATCTCATCGCTGGTTAAGGAGCACTCGGTCGAAGTTCCAGACTGTTAAAATAAACCAGATGTTGAAATCAGCCAGAAAATAAAGTCAAACTCAGCCACATTACATGAACTCTGCTGACCCTGTTTTTAAACTCATGCCATCCTCCGTTGTCTCCTTCAAACTGCCACTGAGGTTTGGAGCCCAAGGAAAGCCTCTGGAGAGGTGAGGCTAACTGAGCAGCTCTGGAATAATAAAAGCAACGTTGAACTCAGACACACAGCTTTAAAAAGACACGTTTGCAGGGGTTTATGGGTAATTAGCTTAGAACAAAGCCAGAAAATTCATGCTTAACACAGCGTACAAATAAAATACCTTTAAAGCTTTAATCAAGGGGGTAATTTAATCAATAAATCTACATACTGAGATGAAAACCATTATGCATATTTGTAGATATGGATATTTAATATCAACTTTTAAGAGAAAAATATAAAATAAAGTATATAGATACTAATTAAAATGTGTTTGTCATGTAATAAAACATACAAGCCATGGAAACTACTATTATGTGGTTTAGCATTGCGTGCTTTAAGGATGCCACAGCATAAACACAAAAACAAAACAAAAGCAACTCTATAATTAGAAGCCAGTTGATGTTAAAGGTATCGTTGAGGATGTTCTTCATCAAAATAAGTGGTACTCCTAATTGGCAATCATTCTGATGATATGTTTAAGTTAGGCCGTCCTACGTGCTCGTCCCAATTTTTACTTACCGGTCGTGAGTCAGACATAGTGGAAAAATTGCTAATCTTCTTTTGGAAAGTAAGCTTGTATGAGCGATGCGAACAGCAACATTTAAACAGGGCGTGCAGCAGGCGAAATGGGCCGATGCACGGTCTCTTGGGAGCATTTACAGGGTTGTGCATGTGCATTTTTTTATGCAAGTGGAGGAGGTGGCTCTTTTGAAAAATTTGCGAAGATCCTCCAATATACCTTTAAGTAGATGAAGCTCCTACTTCAGCAAAAATGAACTTACCCTAACGTCGCCTGCTGTTGTCTGAACACGGGTCGTCGTGTGACCTTCCTCTTTTTATTTTTTCCTACCTGTTTCATTTCTAACGAAAGTCAAACAGGATCAGTGAAGTTAAATAAAATGATTATAGATTATTAAAAAAAAAGAAAGATTTTATATGATGTGTGAGTTCAGGTCACCTTGGAACTTAATCTCGAAGGTTTCTCCAGCAGCAGTGAAACTCAATGAGCTTTTCGGGTTGCTCTGAAATTTCCTCTCTATGTCGGCACTCTTAACTGGACCTTGATTGCCTTTCGAGTCCTGCCGAAAACACAACACTAATGACAGACCACCACTCCCACTAACTGTACTGGTTTAAAAACAAAAATAGATATACAGCAACCATCTACCTTTTCTCCGTACTTCATCCACTTTCCACTTAATGCGCAGTACCAGGCCCACACAGTGTTGCCATCATCCAGTCGCCTTACTCTCAGGTTTTTTCCATACACTCTAATTCTGTTGAAATCTATAGTAACTGCCCTGCAGGACAGGAAGTTCACTATTACTCTACAGTTCAAGTTTCTTTTTTGACAGTTAAAATATTTCAAATTAAATACATAAAAGATCCTTTTACCCATATGGTGTGTTATATATTTTGATGCTTTTAGTGTGGGGAAGCGAGTATTGGGCCTCAATTATGTGATCGTTTTCAACATCCTTCCAGTCCTTTCCAGCATTTATCTGCCACTGGTAGGGTCGACCATCTGTAAGCTGGGGATCTGATTGGAAAACAACCACAAAATAAAATTGCATAGTCTAAGCCAGTAATTCCCAACCAGGGGTACAATAAAATAAGGCTGGGATGGGTTTGCTCTGTAAGGACCTAACTGCAAAATAAACCAAGATTTTATCAACCAAAAAGATAAAAAGAATGCCATAGTCAACATTTATGTGAAAGACTAGAGTGGGTATTGGTGCTCTGCACCTTTCTAAAGAGAAGAAAAGCAGCTGCAGTCAAGGATAAATGGATAAAACATCCCATTGCTGGGGATTCAGAAGGCCAGGTGTATCATCAACACAGTGAAGGATGAAAACTAAGTAAAAATGACCGTAAATCTGAATAATAGTTTTTTTTTTTTCCTGAGTTTAGATATGTCTATAAGCAAGCTTTTCAGAAGAGCTCCAATTTGTAACTTCTTTTAGTACTTATGGGCTTTTCTAATTGAAAAGAAATACATCTCTGAGCATTAAATATTCAAGTTAAGGCAATTTTTTTCATTTTATAATCAGTTGTATTTTTTATTTTTGGAAAATAATCAACTCGTTTGACCCAGGGCTTACTCATGGTAAGATAAAACGGCCAAGGGGGTACACAAGTAAAAAAAGGTTGGGAACCACTGGTCTAAACAACTACTAAATAACCATTTAAGTTTAAGTTTAACCGCCTAAAGATTATAACTTGACAACCAGATGAAATCAGATGAAATGTAGCTGCTTACTGCTTCCTGCCGACTGGTCGTCAGCGCTGCTCCTCGCTCCACTTGATCTACTTCCACCCACACTGTGATTTAGCTTACAGCTTGACTGGTAGCGACAGTTTCCTGTTAGGAAATACTTGCAGACATGCAGGTAAGAGCAGTTGGCCCCGTCCTTACAGCCTCTACCGTTGTAATATTTGCAGGGTTGCTTTGTGTAAAGCTGGAAGGTGAAAAGGAAGGTTTAAGGATGAAGAGTGTAGATGGGATTTAGATCAATTATTTCATGAGATCATGTGTAGATATGTTTAGAAACGAACCTGAGAGTCATCCTCTGAATCAGACTGCTGCTCACTGTCTGAATCGCCGCTGGCTTCTGATTCACTTTCATTAAAATATTCCTCATCAGGCTCTGAAAAATATTTCACTTATATATATTTATATGCATAGGCAACAGTTAGCCCTCTTATTACTATACAATAAAACCACAGCATGTTAATAATATTGCAGGTATTCCTTGTTTAAAAATTAATGAATAACTATGACATGTCATGATTTAGCATATAACAGACCTCAATGTGTTATTAGAAATTATGCATAGCTGCAAAACTGTGAAAGGAAAAAAAATCATTTTACTGATAACCCCAAGACAATATTTAATGCATTCAGCCTTCATCAGAAGTCCCAAGAACCGAGAAATGCCTTTTTTGATCTCAAGGTGGCCAGAGCAAGAAAAAAGTCTGTTTTACCTCAAAGTATTTATACTTAATGATTGGTGGGTGAGCAATGTCTGGCAGGAGCAGACAGCACAGTGATGGAGGAGCAGTGGAGGTTCACAGCTCAGGTGGTAAAATTAAATTATCACTATTTCTCACTACTAATCTTTATGGAAAAGCAGGACCCTCCCGAAAACCACCATAAAAAACAAACTTAAGAATTTTTTTTTTTAACTATAAATAATTTATAGGAATCCCAACCTGCAGTGTTGCTATAATTACTTCTGTCCACTACTGTATTATTCCCTAAATCCTACATATATGTTTATCCTTTATGTTGAGCCTTGAAATCCAGCTATATTATAGCTCTAATTGCAGTTGTTGTAGCATGTACCATTTTTTATTTCATAATAATTCTTTCAAACATTTTTCCACAATAAGACATGATCACATAAACCCTCAAAAATCCAGGACTAACTATAATAAATATCATTGCTCATTTCTGCCCCCTGCTGGTGAACCTGCTGCACTTCATGATTATTAAATCTCCAGTGGGGCGAAATAATAAAATCAGTCATATAATTTTGAACAATGACCAAATGTTATAATTAACTTAATAAATGAGAGATAATAACAACCAAATTTAACAATTTTTAGTTTTATGTAGATTTTTTTAAAAGGTGATCAGTAAATTGGCCTAATAGGAAACGAAACTTAAAACTGCTGTCTGTAAAACTGCTAAACTTTCCAAATCTGCGAGTGAGGTTTTAAAGCTACTTAAGAACAGGCAAAATAAAATGCGGCTTTATGTTTTGACATTTATTTGTTTATAAAGAAGCATCACGTTAAACTAAAGCTGTTGAGTTAAAAAATAGATAAATCTACTGTATTTACTAGATGCAGCTAAACAGTGTCACATTGTTACATAATAGATTGCATACGTTACTGTCCTTTATTAAAAGAAAATGATTAATAATAAAGTTTTATAAATACAGAAACAAAGACCAGATTGGAAGCCTGCTTACCAGAAGCGGACGCCATCGTTCAGTGATTGCTTTCGTTTTCACTTAAAAGCTGTGACTGAACCTACAGTACACACCTATAAACCTATAAATAAGTCACTCCCAAAATCAAAACACTCATTAGTACTACATAAGTACTCAAATGTCAGTCAGTAATTATTCTAATGTTAAAACATCACAAGAGCCATGCTTTAAATCCATGTGGGAAAGAAAAATAAAAATTTTTTTTGTTTTGTTTTGAAAGCTTGTCAAAATGCGAGTAATAATCAGAAGTGGTTACTCAGAGGAAATAGGTAGTCATTAAAAAAAAAAAAAAAAAATAATAATATTTTAATTGAGTCAGAGGTATTATTTTATTTTATATTTATTCATTTATTTTATTTTATTATTATTTATTTAATTATTTAAAAAAAGTATTAAAAAAAAGCACCACTCATGTAAAAACAAAAAAAATGCATTTGCCCCCAAAACGTCACACAATAATAAATGCCACAAGTCGCGTTTTTGTCGCCTGTACAACAAAACCTCACCGACAGATGGAGACAGATCCGCGTTACTACACTATTAAACCCACGAAGAAGAACGAAGGAGCCTTCTGAAGGAGGAAAAGCTAACCCCTACCAACCTACAAAGTGCGCGTTGTCGATTAAGGCTTATAAAAAGCAGAATGGAAACCACATTACAGCCGGATCACGAATACACCAATAACACGTTTGATCAAATTACCCCCAAAGAATTCACATATAAGAGTAAGTAAGAGGAGAAGGAGGGGTTTTAACACACTGATAGCAACACTCGGAATATTTAGCTTAGGGGCAACCTAGGAAGGTTACTACACTGTGACGTATCAGGATCTAACCGTTCTGTTATTATATTTTTTTTATTTAGAAAGTGACCACCTGTTGTTTTTAAATTGCTCTTAAATGGTCAGTTGCATCCAGCGGTGATGGCAGCCTTTATAAACTAAATTATATTAAAACAAGCTATGCTAGCTCTATAGATAATAAACACTAACTTTAGAAAGAATGAGGTTATCTTTTCCCAACTAAAAATTCTGAACAGTCTAATGTTGTAGAAGATATGTGCATTTGTGGAATATGTTTGTCTTTCCTCTTGACTGTACTTGTTTATTGTGACATACTCCTGGGAATATTTGTTAGTTTATATTTCATATATTATTGTTGACTTTAAGTAAAATACAAAAATAAAAAAGGGATGAAGGAGGTTTAATATGTTGTTTCACATACAAAGCAGTTCTCTTTCAATACAGAGTTCATTCTCAGGCTGGAAAGCTGCAATTAGGTAAATTTTTGGATAAAAATGGACAAAGAAATCAGATGGTAGAAAATGGTTTACTTAGCAATAACTGAACTTTACTGATCTGAAATTGAAGAAATTTACCTCTGCATTTAACCCATCCCCTTGGGGACCAGTGGGCTGCCATTGTGCGCCCCCAGAAAGCGATCAGGGGTTAAGGGTCAGGAACCCAGAGTGGAGGCTGTGGGGATCGAACCGGGCACTTGCAACCTTCTCAGAGCACTGTTCTAACCAATAGGCCAACACTCCCCACTACCTTACCTTATCACCTGTTTCACTGTGGAAGCGTAGATCCATCCATCTCCAGGAACCCTATCAACATCTAATCGTCATTTTCCTGTTTATTTTTTTTCAGTGAGCAAAACTGAAGTCGAAAACTTTGTGAAGTTGCGGGCTTCCAATGGTTGCCTCTTCTCCCGACAGAGAAATAGCTCCAAGTGGGCATGGAGGTATGTATGGTGAGAAAGTAAACAAAAACAATGTTCCAATACTAGACTAAAACCCCATTCATTAAAATTAACACATGACATTTATTTTAATTTGAATAAGATCAAAGTTATTTCTGTATTTATTATTTTATTACATCTAGTTGCACCCTTTATTGATTGAATACGTCCAGTAGAGCTTCAGAGTAGCAATTACAAACATTTTAGACTTAGTTACCGGTATATTATTTTATGTCCAGATATGCGAAATCTTTTTGAAACAAAAGATGCGTTTGAAGTCCTACCTAAGGTGGATTCAATGCTGTTAACATTTATTAGCTGCATATGACACCAACATAGAAAGGCTTTGTGTAAAAATCAAAGTGCACCTCCTCATTTAGTAGTTTGTAGAACTGCTTATAGCGGCCATAACTTTAAGCTGTTTATATCAACTTACCAGCCGCTTATTTTTAATGTAAGTTTCTTTTGTTTTGTTTAATTTTCTTCATAATGCTGAACTGAAACTCTTCTGGACAGAAAGGCTTGGTTGCATTCTCTGTAATCTACTGGAATTGTTTTATTATCAGGACCATCCTAAAACATATGGGCTTGCATCATAAGATGACTCATCGTCAAGCTTCTAAAAAATGGGAAAACCTGAAGAAGAGATATAAGGTACAGATGTGGTTGCTTTGGATAAGGTAACAGTTTTAACTTTATACTCATTTTAACATTTGTTGTTTTCAATCTCCTGCAGGACTTAAAGAATCCTCCACCAGGAGTCAGAACAGTGCCTGAAACCTGGCATCTATTCTCCCTGATGGATGATGCCTTAAAAGGTCGGCTACAGGGGTCAGCTCCTGTCCTTAAGAGTCTTCCTAGAAATAACAACAACAATGATTTCTTACTAGCACCCTCCCCCAAAAGGACAAGGCTTTCAATGTCGGAAGTATCCTCTGCTGTAGAATTTGAAGAAGGAGGGGCAGAGATTGAGGTTCTGCTGAATGGAGACGAAGATGAATCTGCTGTAGCAGCAATGGAAGAAAGTGAGGAGATGAACGGCCTCGTTCAAGAGGTGGATATTTACACAAACAGCGAGCCAGAAGAGATTAAAAGTGAGCAGCAGCTATTAGCATGTGATAGAGTAGCACAAAAACAGAAAACAGAGCAAAAAGTGAGAACAGATTGGGATGCAGCCATTCGACAGCAGGATAGGATGCTGCTGGAGAGGGAGAGAGCAGCAATGGAGAGGGAACGGGGGGTGATGGAGAGGGAGAGAGCTGTTTTGGAGAGGGAACGGGCTTTGATTGACAGGGAGAAGTTGATGCTGGAGAGGGAAAGAGATGCCCTGCGCAGCGAGAGGCTGGTTCTGGAAAAACAAAAAGCAAGGTGGGAGAGACTTTTTGCACAAAAAGAAAGAACTGAGGGGGGCGCAGAAGATGACTGCAAGGAAAAAAACTCAGAAGCAGCGGAGAGAAAAGAACGACTTCTTTGTTTGTTGGAAAAACTTGTAGAAGATATTTAAGAAAATTACTGCAAATGCCTTTGTGAAAAATAAATCACAGTTCCTTGCAAAAATGTTAAATTTCATGGTTTGTCAAATAAAACTACAAACTTCAGAACCCTGTTTAGTAATTTGATATCATACACAAACAGAAAATAGTGAATAATTGTGATTTGTAACAACTGAAAGCAGTTCTGGTTCAGACATTATTCTGTCTCACTGCCCTACAGTAGCAGAAGAAAATAACTTATCCCCACAGCATGATGCTGCAACTATCATGCTTAACCATGGGGATGCTGTGTTAAAGTTGAGAGATTTAATGTAAATGCTAACCACACTTTTAAGATCTTTATCTGTTGAACCCTTTGTATCATTTTCTTTCGGTTTCATATCAATCCTTTGATTTGTTTTGGTCTGCCACTTTAAATTAAGCTTTGATTGCGACTTGTAAACTTCATCTGCAAAGTATACGTGAAATCCCACACTACACTTTTGGAATCCAAAAATCCAGCCTACTGTTTTGAATGTATAGTGCAGATGCATATATGGTTATGTGTCATGTGTTTACTTCATATATTTTTGTCTTGAAAACAAACAAAATAAAATGTGTAATTTAATAACAAAACATTGAGACACCTCTTGAATGGAGAGGTCTTTAAATCAACTTTATTCTCTTGTGGTTATTCCATACAAGGCACACAATGAAGCACTTTTGGTATTATTCTAAAACCAAACCCTTCCACAACAAAAAATGAAAAACACATAAAAAATAAAATAAAAAAAACCCTCCCCACCACCTCCACAAACTATCAATAAACTTTAATTAATTTGCTCTAGACAGAGGTCTGTATCCATTGCTATTTAGGACAGTTAAACCCTGACCTATTGACTTGAATATGAAAATGAAAATGGTTTGTGTAAAAAAAAAAAAAACTATTTTTATATTACAATACAAACTTTACAACCAGAAGTTTTTTTTAAATGCTTTTTGTTTATTACATTGCATCAATTTACTTCTTACCATCTCCATCTTCATTAGATCTTTGCTTGTATACATTGAGAAAAAAAAAAGTACTTTTTTTTTTTTACAAAAAAACTTTACTAACTGGTTGATTTTTGGTTGCCAGTTATGAAAAGAAACTGAAAATATCAATAAAAACCCTGTGAGGCTGTGTTATAAAAGGTTTCTGTGCCGCTGCACATCTATTTTAGTAAAATCTTATACAATTTAGAATATTTCTGTAAAAATCCGAGCAACAGGAAGAAGGCAGAGTAATGCATATGTGCTTGGTTGTTGGAATTTCAGTCATATTTGCTATTTGGGCATTTGCACACAGTTTGCACACAGTTTTACAGATTGGCAAAATCTGTCAGCAGCATGTAAGAAACACACTTTCAGGAAGGACTTTGAACATTGAATATAGTATAACTCTGTGGGTCAGTATGTACAAAGATGTTTGCAGGGGTCTAGGTTAAATAAGATTCCCGATGGGTATACGGGGCAGACAGATATAAGCCTGAGGAGTCTTGCTGAGGTTGATGGGGTTGCCGTCCAGACGGATATCCTCCAATGCGTTTCTGATGTAGCTGAAGTCGTTCAGGTTGCAGAACGTGTCCTCGTGCATCATTTGAATGTTGTTACGCTGCAACGGAACAAATAAAGTAAAGTGCATTGCAAAAAGGAAGGAAAGAATGCAGTAAAAATAAAAAAATCACACTGCAAAAAGGATTTAAAGATATTTTTATCTTAAATTAAGTAATTAAGATGATTTGCCAATGGAATGAGTATTTTTACTCTTAAAGTATGAAAATGTGATAAAATGTACTTGAAATAAGACAATGCAAA